AAGTGGTAGGAAAATTAAAACAAAAGTTCTTGAACATATTAAACTAATTGACAATTTCAGAAGACTACACTTAGATGATTATAAAGCGCCCTACTCACGATCGGAAGATCGTGGGTTCGATTCCCGCCTCGACCAGATATTTTTCTCGAGAGAATTTATCTGGTTGAAGCAGGGATGATTCTACAACCGTGTTAGGAATCACACGTTAAAAGGTAATACCTCGTTAGTCCTTAGCTCGCACAACTTTCTCAACTTCTGAGAGTTGTCGTTCGTATGGGGACGACGGAAAAACAGATTTTAAACAGATTTTTAAACGTGATAAATTAAATAGAATACTTATCAATTTTTCGCCATTTTCAAATTTGGATAAAACATGATTGACTTTAGTGTCAAACTCGATGTTGTTGAAATATACGAAGTCCCAAGATTCACATGACAGTAAGGATTTGAAATAATAAATGTTTTGGTAATTAAACGCTCGTTTGAGAGTGTAATAGAGCTCATCAATAGAGCAGGATTTAATTGAAGGTTTAATAATTTGGAGTGCATGGTCAGAAAAATCAGGGTGAATGACAATAGGGGGAATTTGGCAAGTGGTGGACGAGAAAATATCATCGAATGTTGACATACTGCTTCCCTGTATTCTCGTGTGCTGGTTAAAAAAGTTGTTTGACACCTTTTCTTCAATGGGCAATAGATGTCTCATCTGGTGGTGCTGATCTGAACAATTGTTCTTTCAACCTTATTGACTCACAATTCAACTCATAGGATTACTTTCATGAGATATTCTAACAAGATGGCATGCATAGATGGTAAGGGATGTGTTTGCTCAGAACACGAGTCGATATGTATGTGGTGGTCTTTTTCCTGTTGTGTTCTGTGTTTGCAAATCCTTTGTCATCGTTCCATGTCATCTCGATTTTATTTCTTTATATGATTTTGACAATTGATTCTCCTTTCCCATTCAATTCAGTTCTGATATATTTCAATATAATTCGTTTCCATGTACCGTTTTATGATTTTGAGCTTAATGAGTGGGTATTAATATTCATAATTCAATCTTTTATATACAGAGTGTTAATTAAGTATGTACCATAAATTTAACAGACAATTCTTTAGTCAATTTTAAGACGAAATGTTCATATAAACGGGTCCGCAAATTCTTCGTTCTCAAGATAAAGGGTGTTAAAATAAAAATATAAAAAAGTTATTCGTAAATATCCTTTACCTAATTTTGTTGTAATTTGGCAATGGTATTTATAACATTAAGGAGGAAATTTAGCCCGAAAGTGATTCAATTTATTAAGTCCAGTGGCGTCTCGAGCGGGATTTGAACGACTCTTTTTGACTCAATAATGTACGCCACTGACTGAGCAATTAGAAATACAACTTTTTTGACTCTTGAATTTTTTTCGTATCTTGCTTAGTTTTTAAGAAAAAAAAAGTCGACCTAATTCCATATCCCTGGACCTCACAAAGAATAATATGGGGAATTGAATGTTTCTTTTGGAAATTNATGAATCGCATGTTGAATTTATGGTACATACCTAATTAACACCATGTATATGATATTATAAACTTCCTTCGTTTACTACATTCGGAAAAAAAATCATTATTATTAACATGTTATTGTGACCATTATAAAATATTTTTTTCTTCATGTACCTAAGTATTTTATACTTCAATGTATTAACTATTGTTATATTGTTCTTCTTTTATTGTAGAATTTCGAATAATTAGCTGATGATGAACCTATATAGGTTCGAAACATGTACTGACTGGTGGTTTTACCGTTCTCACATCTGAGGGTGATGATACATTGTGGAGACGACTTTGAGTTATTTTTCTTCGCATACCTAGCAATTGATTTATGGGGGCATGGGCGCAGGTCGGTTCTTAATTTTCTGTAGAATTTCAATTATAATTGCTGAAAAGGTTCACCAAATTTAAAGCTCTCGTTCGAAGGCCATCTACAGAAGTTTCTAGAACTGTACCCTTTTTCAACACTTGTCATTGTAGACCAACTTAGTTACACACATTCGTTTTTGTGTAACAAATATCCTACTTATTTCTGTAGCATTTCCCCATAACGTGATGTGAAATGATAGTGCAAAATATACTAATGCATAATAAACTTGGATAAGTATATTCTCATGAAGTTTATACCTCAATTGCAGAATTGCGAAGTAGGATTTGGAGAGTTTTTTAGATAAACTTTCAATATGCTCAGATCATGAGAGTGATTTATCAATCATTACACCCAGAAACTTAGTGGAGTTATGATGTGTCTGTAGGACTTCACTATCGATCAAATTGTTCTTATTGAAATATATAATTTTTGTTTTCTGTGCATTTAGCATCAGTTTATTGGAATGACAATATTTTGTCATTTCACTAATACAGAGTTCAACGGATAAAATCATATCCTCCATAAATGACTCAGCTATACCAAATGTTGTGTCATCAACAAAATTGATGAGATGAAAGCGCCTATCGACATTAATTGGGAGGTCATTGAGCAATGGTCCCAGAATTGAACCTTGCGCTACTGCAACATCAACTGAATATCTTTTTGACTCAACACTATCTATTTCTACAAAGATTTGTCTATTTGTTAGGAATGAAATGATCCAGTCAAGAATATTTCCTCTTATGCCAATATTATACAGTTTGGAAGCCATAAACACTTTATCAATACAATCGAAAGCTTTTGACAAGTCAAAGAAAATTCCTGCCACGTGCTTCCTATTGTCCATATTTTTAGATATGAAATCGACAAAAAGGGTAGTAGCAGATTCAGTTGACCTGCCCATGCGAAATCCATGTTGAGAATCAGATAAAATTTTTTGAATTATTGAAAATTTCATTAGTCTATTGTACATTAGTCTTTCGAAAATTTTTGAAAAAATACTGAGAAGACTAATTGGTCTATAATTATCAATTTCTGATCTATTACCACTTTCATGTATGGCGATCACTTTACTCAATTTCAGCGCATCTGGAAATTCACCTGTTTCAATAGACATATTGATCAGGTCAGTTAGGGGTTGCACCACACTAATGGAAACTAGTTTCAAAACATTGGGAAATATATTATCAGGTCCTGATGCCGTTTTACTTTTGAGGTTGAATATTGTTGATTTGACCTCTTCGGTTGTGGCGGGTTCGAAGAAAAAGGTATTTTGTTGCATTTCACCAGTGTTGCAGCTTTGAGACATGTCAACTCCAAAATATTCGTCAATTTTGTTTTTTATATTAGTGGAGAAATGTTCGCCAAAACAATTAGCTACTGAGACGGGATCAGTAAATGTGGTACCATTTATTGTAAGTGTTATACCGCTTTTATTTTTTGGACTTCTGCCTAATTTTGTGTTGACTTCCTTCCAAATTTATAACGTTGGTGTGTGCTTTCCGAAAAATTGGTAATATTAAGGACTTATTTACAACGAATCTAGTTTGCTTAGCTTTGGGAGTCGTATATTTTTGTTTATTATGGAACATCCAGATCAATGACTGGTAGATATATAATTCTCTTTTATCAAATGTTTCAATATTCTTGTAGAGCTTAATGGTGGAATAAAGTTTTTTTTTTCAATATTATTTTTAGTAAGGAATTTTGTGTTGATTGAAGTTTACCCAATGCATTATAGTACAGACCTCCCCACACTGTTATGCAATATCTAATAACTGATTCGACCAGGGAGTTGTATAATATTAAATGATTTTTTTTTGTTTAAGATATCTCTGATACTATAAAATTTATGGATCAGTTGTCTGATACTTTTTGTTACATGGGTCACGTGATCATCCCACCGTAGATGTTGATCCAGTATAATACCGATATATTTCATATTGGGTGTTTTTGCTATAGTTGGGCACTCAAAACAAATCAGAACATACAATACAGTCCAATAAAATGAGGATTCAAACTACCATCCGAAAGGCAAGCCGGCATTTTTCAATATAGGTAAGTTTATTTTACCATACACTTATATGATTTACAGTTTTCAAATTGTTGGATTTGGGGAATGGAAAATAATTGAAAACTATACCAAAAACCACTTTATTGATATCTCGAAAATACGAAAAGATATGATTTCATATATTTCAATGTTTTGTTAAAACTTAAATTTTTCACTTTTACTTTTGGCTAAAGTTTTTGCCTCTTGAATTAATGTTGAGAAGCTGAATATTTCATACTTGGAACAACAATTCATAGAGAAACTAATATTTGATGTTCGGAACATTTCATGAGAGTTATGTAGTCCTCGAACCACCCAAAAAAAATGTTAAATAAGTCTATCTAAAAAATCGATTACGAATTCATATCTCAAAAACTATGAAATATCAGTTTTTTAGTGTCGTTTGTGGAGAATTAAGGATGTTCCGGTATTGATGTATCTACAATTATGGACCTCGAGGGATGATCATAAGTAGGTAATTGATTTTTATCAATAATGTTATCATAAATACTATTAATAATCATTGAATTCCTCCAGCATTCCTAGAATGTTACTATTTTATCCCACAACAATATCAAAAGTTACACCCCCTCGAGTATTCCTCCAACCGTGAAGCATTCAACACAAGGATCAAGGTTACAGTATCTTCGCCCTAGTAACGTTCATAACCGCCAGGTGGAATCGCCGACCGGGTCCCCTCGCGCGATCCAACACTGCACGCATCGTGGGCGTGACACGGGTGGGCCCACAGGTTAGTCCCGCCCACGGGCCAACAAACTCCAAGCGCATTTATGAACCCTCACGTAAATGTTCACGACCTCCGCTCGGTCAATTTCGTTCATGACCGGAACAAATTCTCATACACCAGAAGAATAGTTGGCAAGTTGGCGAGCTTAGTTCGAGTGCAAATGTACGGCGCTGTACTATCGTTCCACAGCTGATTGTGACCGTTTCTGTGCAGCGAGATGTGTCGGTGACGTGCGGAGAGGTGATGTGCGTTCGGGAGCGGCCGGGAATGTGTGTAAGCGGGTGAATGCGATGAACGGCGGGTGTCTGCCTCCGGTCCCGGATTTGATTCCCATATCAACGCTTCGGAAAAGATCCCCCGCGAACGATATCTCGAACGGGGGCCTTCAGGAGCGCACCCCTTGTGTCTCTGAGGTTATGGGCGAGCAGCGCCCCCGACGGCGGTCTGCGAACCATCCCGCCGTTGAACTGATCGATAGCGCAGGGTCACGTGGCTCGAGCGCCGCCCCCCAGACGCCGCTCTCCCGGAAAGCGAGGTCGGAGCGTCACCGTAAATCAGACAGACGACGCGACCAACGCAAACCCGCCAGAACGCGCTCTAACAGTAAACACTCCAAGCCCCGGGAAGAGTGCGGCCCGATTCCCACTAACCCGCGAGTAAACCCAATTTTCGTGTGGGTCCGGCAAGAAGACACTCGCATCGTGGACGTGAAATGCGAAGACTACGACAAGAGGAACCGCATCCTCCTCACGAAGACGGCACAGGGGTGGCGAGCCATCCCGCGTACCGAAACCCTTGTGCCCAGCCTGAAGGAGGCGGTTAAGGACCAGAGTCAGAACGCTCACCACCACCACAGGAACAAGAAATCCCGCAAAGGCAAAGTTCGTCGGCGATCCACTGGTGTCCAGGTGACCTCCGACATTGAACAGGATGAAGAAGAGCAGGAACCTGAGCAACAACCCGAGAAGGAACATGAATCCGACGAGAAACAGCCTCCCGACTGGATGTCGACGGATAACGTCAACATCGAGTCTCTACTTCCGTCTCACACGATTAAAGTCAAGAGGTCAACCAGCCCGAGGCATTCTCCTGAGCGCGAGTCAAATGTAAACAGTGCCGTAATCGACAACGCGCAAACTCCGACTTTAAAGTGCAGTGCCGATAAATTGTGTGACGTCAGCCCGCTGGATAATTTACTAGCCGTGGCGGAACTGGAATTCAACCACCAAATACAGTCTGGTGAATGGAATAAAACCAATGAATCCGATACTGTATCCACTCCCATGGTTTCCTTCGAGGGAACAGACGAAGACAAGGAGTTCATGAAAAATTTGGAGCAGCTCAATGAGCTCATCGAATCAGAAGAAGGAAAACTGGAAATACCTGCCGATTTCGACACGGAACACCACAGGACTGAGGAGTGCGACTATACAGAAGAAGACGACAACAATTTGGCTATGGATGACATTCTCTCCAGGCTAGAGCAATCCCTTAGAAGCCCTGAGTGCACGGAGCTCGCGAATTGCGACTCTAGCTTCCAAAACAAAAAACCTGCGAGCCACGATTATAGCAGCGACTCTGAACATAACTTAAAATCAGTAACTGACTTAGAGGAGTTTTTCAAACAAAATGAGCACGTACCTGAGCCCGAGCCTGAGGAAGTTAAGTCTGAACTTCATGAATCGAAATCTGACCCAGAAATCGTTAATCTGGTAGAATCTTCAACGAAGGACTTCGAGGAACCCACTGACTTATCCATGAAGAACCCTTCAGTCATAGAAAACAACTGCGAAGTGTCTGAAGAACCAACTGACCTCAGCGTCCCCAAATCTTTATCCAGTCCGAGACCGCCATCACAGAATTCTGAAGCGATTCAGTCGCCCCAGCCCAGTGGCATACCTGCAGTACCCCCTTCTCCGGATATTGTTTCCACGACGGTTTCCGGAAATGCTAAAACAAAATCCGTTTTCTTGGAATCACTGCTCACTAACAGCTCGAAGAAGATAGCTCTCAATTCCGAAGTTACTATTATTCGGCAACGTGAACCGCTTGATTTGGGAAAATGTCGAAAATCTGCCAGTCCCACAGTTACTTGTTCAGAAGAGGCCAACAACTCTACTAGCGAAGAACCTCCTGCAAAAAAGATGAAAACGGGAAATATAACGCTGAAAAATCTGCTGAATACACACACACAGGATACACAAGCAGATGAGAAAAGCAGGGAAAAGAATTTCACAGCAGACACTCCTAGGCTGCTAGAGCTACTGAAGAATGATACTGAAGTGGACCCCCTAACCCAGTTGAAACAGCTTCTGTCAGATCCTAGCGTGGATGTTCCAGATCCTATGCTGGTGCCGAAGGATCAATTTAGCTCCATTCTAACGCATCCTGGTACGGAAATTCCGAGGCTGTTGAGAGAACGACCTGAACTCAGATTGCCCGAGGCTCTAGCATACCCACATATTATGCAGGACCCTAACATGCTGGTGCTAAATATCCACCATCTAGAATCGATATTGTCCAGTAAGAACGCGCAGGATAGTGATGAAATCTCCAAACCCAGCAGCGAACCAAGCCTGGAAAAGTCAGCAAGGAAGACAGAAAAGACGTCAGACACCACACAGGAACCACTAAAGAAAAGGACGAGCGATAACTTTTCGAGACCAAAAGTGTCTTCAGAAGCGCAAACGAAAGGATTCAACGAACTAGCAAACGAGATCGACGCAGCTACTCAAGCGGCGTTCAATCAGATGGCTTGGTTGCCTTATCTCAACCACTTGGAGGCAATGTCACTGACAAACAATGCAGAGATCATGAAAATGTTGACTAACTCAGTGCCGTCGTTTCCCATGTACCAAATGCCAGATTTCTCCCAAGTTCCAGCTGGAGGTAGAGCGCCTGTACCGCAGATGGGATTTTCTATGCAACAAGCACCGATGAACTATGCCAATCCATGGGAAATGAGCATGTGGCAGGAGGCTATGGCGCAAGCTAATATGCTGAGAAACAAGGCCAACTTTGAAAACTTCAATAACGAGCAGATGTTCAAGAGCTATTTGGAGAAGATGAATCCACATCCCAAGAAATCCGCAGCTCACACCAACCACAGGCACCACTCTACAAGCAAACATCAAGGATACCACAACCAGTTCTACAAAAACGAGTATCCTGCTTACCAAAACCCTTACATGGCAGCTTTCCAGAATAACGCATCTAAGCAGAGCTTGCAACAGTCTCAGTTCAGTTCGAACATGCATCAGAAAAGACAACAACCTAACGGTTATATGCAAAAACATATGAATGCTTTCCCGCATCAAAAGATGGACAATAACCAGAACTTCACTGGTTTGTACCAGCAAGGGCCAGATATAGAGCGCCACCAGTACCTGCAGAATCTAGGTTTGAGTCCCCAGGAACAGTTCCATCCGAATTTACCGAGTTCCCATCGGAAAGAGACGAGCTCGACGCAAAAGCCGAAGCTGTCTTGCAAATCGTTCGCTAACATTTCGCATCAGAAACCTGCCGTTCTCGATCACCAGAAAGACAAGACTCACCCTTCTGGAAATGATTCCTCTTCCAGACAACAGACGAGTCAGCCTATCGATCTTTCGGGTGCGATGACGTCGGGGGGTAAACTCAAGGTCAAACACAATCTGATTGATACCACAAAAGCTCCGAAGTTGTTAAAACAGCACGACGATGTACCAGAAGTTGGGAGTACGACTGCTAGCATAGAAGAAATGCAGGACGCACATAAGCATCTGTGGCATCCGCTGTTTGGAAAGTAAGAATTATTTTTCATCATTAGTTTCACCTAGCAATTTGGTGTCTTCAGGAGATGAAGAAGAAAACCATTAATTTCTTCTTCAACTCCTGAAGACGCCAACTTGGTTGGTGAAACGCGCGTCAAGAATAGTATGTAACAGTTCTGGTTATTGGGATAAGTGGTGCTTGTTTTGGATACTTCTTTCGCTGAAAAGAATTAGAAAATCAAAATTTGAAGCAAGTATTGAAAAAAATACAAATGAGAATAATTGAAAATTGGGTGAATTCACTGTTATTGATTTCTTTCATTTCTTTCGCTGAATAGAATTGAAAAATCAAAATTTAAAGCAAGTTAAAGCAAATACAAATGAGAATAATTGAAAATTGGGTGAATTCACTGTTATTGATTTCTTGCCCTACACAGAATTGAAAAATCAAAATTTGAAGCAAGTTTTGAAAAAAATACAAATGAGAATAATTGAAAATTGGGTGAATTCACTGTTATTGATTTATTTCCCTGAACAGAATTGAAAAATCAAAATTTGAAGCAAGTATTGAAAAAAATGTAAATCAGAATAATTGGAAATTGGGTGAATTCAATGTTATTGATTTCATTCCCTGAACAGAATTGAAAAATCAAAATTTGAAGCAAGTATTAAAAAAAATTGAATCGTGGCTGTTTTCTCACTGATTTTTTATTATTGAGTTTTTCAGATCTTTGACTACACCATTAGCATGTTCTAGTTATTAGCGAATTACATGCGAAGGAAAATATTGTAATTTCCCGTCATTTAAACAAATACACGGTGTCTTGCTAATTTGTCACCCCTGTTAAGCTAGCAGAACCACTTTGGAATTTTACATTCATTTTCAGTCCATAATTCAAGGCCAAATTTGTATTCTATTGACGAATTTTTTGCTCTTCGTTCAACGTAGATTTCGTGGGTCCTGCTAGCTTAACGTTAAGCTAGCAAAACACACCCTTATAAAAATCATTTTTTCAAATTGGATCCCATCATAATTTCAGGCTCATTTCAGGCACATCTTTTCTCTTATCGCTGTTTATCCAGGTGTTCTATTTTTTGAACAAATGTTGGGTTCTGCTGGCTTAACCGTTAAACCGTCAAGTTAGCGAGACTATGAGTGTTTTTAAAACAAAAGGTAAATCAAATATTTTCCTCCGCAACTAATTAGCGACTAAATATAACAAGCCAATGGTCAAGTCAAAGTTCTGGAAAACTTCATAATGAAAAAGTGGTATCGCTAACTTGATATCAAGTTAGCGAGACAACATATATTTTTTTAAAAAAAGAGGCGAAAAAATATTTGTCTCGGCAACTAATTAGCGAATAAATAGCGGCAAATTGTGAAATCGTTCGTTTTGCAAATTTCGAAAAGTGTCTCGTCAACTTGATATACATTAATTTCCCACATTTGGAACGAAATTCCATACTGCTAGCGCGATGATTAAACCAATGACCATTTTTCGAAGCACCTGAGTCATATTTCACATGGTGATTGCTGTCCAAAGTAGACTCCAAAAGTGTTGATATGATATCCAAGCGATATCTGTCGTTTCACGCCAAAATAGTACAATATTGAGGTTTGAGACTTGGGGTTTTATCGTTTCCAATCCAATGTTCAGAAAAACAATTACAATTTGGTGAAGGTTCAATATTTCTTAGATTAAATTTTGATGTTTCAGCTGTTTCTCCTATAATTTTTCGAGTCATAGTTATCCTACCTAAAATGAAAAGGCTAGTGACAATTTTTGAGAAAAATTACAGCTGATTTATAAGTTTCTCCAGGGTGAGACGAGAAGTTCACAGAAACATTACTTTTCATTCTTCGTCCTCAGGAATCTATTCAGTATCCACCAAAGTTTTCATTGCCACAAGAATGACAGGGATCTTACTGATTATTTTTGGGTATACTGTCAAAAGTGCACAATGCTCTTAGAAGGGCTGCAGCAGCTTCTGCATCTTGTGTCAGAAATCTCCTTATCCCCGTGGTTACGGTAAGACATGACATTGGCATGCCTTAATGAAGCTCTTGGTTCTTTAACCTCAACCGTTCCGACCTGAAGAAGATGAAGGTTGTATGCTTTGATAACCCAAGCTTCTTAATAACCCAATCGCGCCGACAGCTGAATGGCTGCAGGGTGATATGCAGCCACGAACGATCTCCTTGGGGAACTGGGCGAAACCTCATTGTAATGAGCCTACCTCTGGTAATGCGGAGCTCTGCCAGAGGTGACCAACTCTTCCCTTTCTAGTCGTGGTAATGCATATTCATGAAACAACACAAAAAAAGAAACAACAAAAACAGAAACCAATCCCGAGGCTGGACAGAAGTGCTCACCTCAATCTAAGGCGGTAGCTGGAGATGAACAGAAATGTACACCCCAATCTACCGCTTGAAATGAGGCTGTACATCGTAGATCACCTCCAACAGCAAGGACACTTCCTGAGGCGGGCGCCAAGAGCTCCACTTTGAATAAAGGCAAGGAACCAGCTGCCCCTGCAGGAAAGCTCCCTCACTTGTGCACCTCCACGAAGGTAACCCCAAGAAGGTTGAAGAAGCCGCGCAACGACAGTAATATCGCTGCACCTTCCAAAACCTTCGCGGAGGCCACTGTGAGACATCTCAAGGTCTTGGTCTACACCTGCCAATATAAAGAAGATTTTTCCTAGTGACCTGTCAACCTTCCTGGAAAGGACAGGATGGACGATGACCTAGGAGGACAACTCCTCGGGAAGATGTACAATGGGTCACATGTGGCCTAAGTGCTTTGGGTCTCCACTCCACCCTTTCTACTCTACAGATACAGCACCCAAGCTTCTGACATTATCCCATGCATTGGTTAAATTTGATGTTAGGTTCGGGGGGCCATCCTTGATATCTGATGACTTCAACAAGAACCGTTCTGATATATAAATAATTCTAATCGAGAAGCTCTCCCACATATTCCTGTTGAAAAAAACAATATGAGCTGACGAGTATTTCAACCTGTTTTGTAGAGATGTAATTTTGAAATATTATTGTTACTATTATAATACTGGAATTATATCCCAACACCAAACCGTTATTTTTAGCACGTGTTTAAATCACCAAATAATTATCTTCGAAAGAAAGACTTAACTCAGTTTATTCTTCCTCCTGAAGATGATCACTTGGTGACTGAAACACATGCCGAAACACATTACTGGAGTTTTTTCCTAACACCAAATCGTTATTTTTAATACTTCGACACGTGTTTCGATCACCAAGTAACAGTTTCATCTTTCTCTTGAAGGTGAAACTGTTGAAGATTATCACTTGGTGATCGAAACACGTGTCGAGGTGTTGAAAATGACAGTTTGGTGTTGGGAAAAATCTCCAGTAATATTCATTACTACACCAAAGGTTCCAAACCGTGCATCACAAGTATAGTTCAAATAAACTGTCGTCATTTAAATCAATAATGTCCATATAGCCTTTTTCAACTGAAATTACTTTTTTTAATCATTTTCTACCAGTCTTCTTCGGTAATATTAGATACTTCTCCTTTAACTAGCTCTATTACCCTCTTATCAAATTTTGGAAAATTATTTTTACGCCTGATGCTTTGTTTCAATTTTTGTCAAATCAACTCGATGGGATTCAAAACACAAAAATAGAGGGGAAAGTATCGTCCATACATTTCAACAATACTCTCAATAGTTTCAAAGAATTCGGAACCTATCCTTTACTTCCTCCGCATTGCAAAATGATTAGTCGCAATCCTTTGTTTGCAGGCATGTTAGGCGTACACATTCTCGAACCATCAGTCCACCCTTTTGTAACTGTCTCGTGAGTGTTATACCAAGTTTCAGCCAAATAGAAAATTTGCCGTTGCTTTTGTCTATATTTTGTTCTAAGTATTCGTTACGCAATTCCACTATTCTTCTGCTTTCCATAACTTCCTTATGATATCAGTTGTAGAAATCTCATTGCTTTTGTAACAGTCGTATATTGCTTTTTTCAATGATTTTATTAGATGAACATCTAAAAGTTTTGGTAATCCCGTATCACATCGCGTCTTGCATTCATAAGGTTTCTTTTGACTGTTTTACGTACAGTTAAGAAAGGAATTTCGGTCAAATTTGATATTGCTTGTAATAGTATGTTTCCCTCGAAACTTGAGATGTACACTCTTATATACCATACTTTCTGTGTTTCAATATTCAAATGCATCCGAATCTTATTCACTGGTATCTCTTTTTCGCATTTTTCGCCATCGCTATATGAATCACTACACAGGAAAAAGTATGCGTTGTTATCACACTCGTTATTAATATTAGTACTTATCCAAGGACGCCATATTTTAAATAGATAACAGAAATTTTAAGTAATTATAACTGCACCAATATCGAATTTCAACACTCAAATCGCGATCAGTTCCTGAACTGAACATTGAAAACACGACTGCTATAACCATCCGCGCCTTTTATTCGTCACCGTAACATGACTTCAAATTTGATCTTACGACCCTTCAGCCAATCATAAAACACGGTTAGTAAAAATTATCCAACACGAGCCGCTAATTCTTCAGTCCACGTGGATTACTTCACAGCGGCTTTATTTCACTGTATTGGTTTTTTTGGCTTTGGAGAACGCCGACACCTTCAACTATGCACAATACCGGTTACTTCGAGTATACTATTATATACACTGGGCGATAATTTTCATTAATATTTCTTTATTCTTCTTTCAGTCAAAAAGATTACACCAGCCCTTGGAGTTGGACGACGTTGACAGCTACAGGTGAATAACACAGGCCGCAACCTCCACCAGCAAACTGGAGGTCGAACCTATACCAATACCACCAAGGCGCTACCGGTACGGACGCATCTTTAACAGGGTTAGACTTTGATTTTTTCTCCAAGTAAGATCACTCTCTTGAGTATTTCTGATTCAGACATTGATATTCTGGTTACTGAATGATTCTCCAACAAAGTCCATTCGTCAATACAATCAAATCTGTCACCACACTCTATGACAAAAATGACTATAGTTGCCAGGAAGCATTAATATCATAAGTATTGAAGATATTGGTACATTGTGATGCTGAAAATAGTCGAGAAAAAGCGAAATTATTGTTTTTTCAATGCAAAACAGAACCAACATTATTACAGTCATCACCAGTTCTAGAGCAGAAAGTTCAAATTTAAATTGAACTAATTGATAATTAGGGTTGTCATTTATGAGGGGCGTGCACTCTATCCTCTAGATGTGATATTATGCTATTATGAAACTCTCTTTAAAAATTACTCTGCCTGGAATATCGTTTTGTTTGCAAAAGTTAATCGAAATAATTCAAATACGATTTTTATCACGAAACAGTCATTCGTACGGACAATGTATAATGAAACAAGCTTAAATGATCCAATTTTAGAAATATATGATGGAATTGTCTACGATTTGATGAAATCCATGATGAAAGCATTTAATAACAACTGATTGTGAGAGTTTCACAAAACAGTTTACAAAACCATAAGAATTTGTTTTACTGTACAATATAGCTTCTTCCTACTTCAAAACATTGAAGTCTCATTTTGTTGTCAAATTTACTTGCTTTTTATATATTCGCTAAAGGTTGTTCAACACCTTCATCAGTTCAAAGAGAATCCACCAAAAATTCCACAACCTTTAAAATCGTACCTTCTTTTGAAGGTTGTTCAGCTGAATTTCCAAAAATACGACATACTACTAATAAAAGTTAATTCATCTCACTCAATATTTGAAATGTTGTCCATCATTCTTCAAACAGTGATAGACTCTGCTTTCAAAATTCTTTCTCACATTCCAAAAAACTTCTGCCTGAAGTTCTCTACACGCAGCTGTTATTCTTCTCTTCAAATCTTCCATATATTGAGGCTGTATTTTATAAACAATCTATTTTAGATGCCTCCATAGGAAGAAATCTATAGGCTTTGAGTTGGGTGATCGTGGTGGCCATTCTGTTGTTCCTCTTCGATCAATTAATCTACCTACTGTCTAACTGAAATAAAGCAGTAGTGTGGAGCTCCATCTTGTTAAAAGTGAATAAGATCGTTTCACAAAATCATGTTAGCAGCCGCATCTATTTAATTTTTCAAACTATTTTTATTGAAGACTCTATTATATATTTAAGTAGATTCAAGAGGAGCTCGCTTTTTTTTTCTACGGTATGTGGATTGTATTCAGATTGTGAAATGTGATGGTCAAATAGGGGAAACGACCAAACTGACGTTTATTTCTTTATTTTTTGTTAACTCTTAAACTCTACAACATTACCATACAAATAATAATTTGCAGGCACAAATGGACATCGCGTATGCAGAGATACGCCCAATTTCATTTAGATATAATATAGAGAGTATAGGTCCCAGTATGGACTCTTGCGATACCCTATGTTTCACTTCTACTTCATTAGAATTAATATGATGCTTTACTGATTGGTTACGATAGGAAATACTGACAAATTGCTTCCTGTTTTTCAAGAAAGTTTATGTCCAATTTAAAGGTACTTCGCATATGCCGTATTTGACTAGCTTAGCTAATAAGGATGAATGGTAGTTACTATCTAATCAAGAAGAATTTTCTGCCATTCATCGCTTTCGTCAACAATTGAATCTCCAGAAAAAAATATGAAATCTGTGAGTTGACAAAACGAATTCGGATTTGGACAGGTTGTACTTAGATTGAAACAAGATGTCTGCGCAAATAAATCATTGAATGAGCAAGATAATTGTAAATCATTAAAAACAATGTTTAACGCCACTACATATTACTACATACTGGAAGAACTACAACTGTTTTCTTCGAAACATCCATTCATGAATAAAATACTGAAAAATCAGGAGCAGTACAATGCAAAATATAAGTTGCGGTTTCTGAATGATAAAAAATAGGTCTGAGTTCCGTAATTAATTCTGTTGCGCCTTTTTCTTTTCTTCTACTGATATTAGTGAANTTACTTTAATTTCAGAATATCCAATTTGATTGATATGACCTTCTACCTATTATTTGATTAATAGTTTTACCAGAGTTTAGGTATAAACCAATTAAAATGTGAACATTATAAAAGAAAATTTTCAAACTCATAAATGGACATGTGATAAATCAATTACTAATAGTATTAGTATGTTTGAATGAATCAATTTCTAAGCATTCTAATAGATTGAGTTTCAAATTCTACTAATCCAGACCATAGTCGATTAAACTCATACCCCCCTGCCAAAAAATGGTTTGCAAATGTGGAATTGGTCTTCACATTCAAAAAACTATCTATATGTTTTTCTATTCTTTGGAAATGGTTCTCACCGTTTGGCCAATATCAAATTTCAGACAAGAACCACAAGTCTACTTATATACCTCCTGATCCATATGATACTGAAATTTTGCCTTTATTGTTTTTAATAAATTTGCTTAAATTATTATTCGTTATGTGATCCACGTGTAACTCTTTCTCAAACAAAGAATGGGCGATGTTATTGGTGGATACACCAAAATATGTCAATGTCCTATAACTTTTATCGTTTTTTGAAATGGGATAGACCTGGGTTAGTGGCATATACCTATCGGCATAAAGGAGCAGCATTCAGTAGTATGATTCACTGGCTGTTGAATAATCCACCGACAGAAAGTAATTTATCAGAAAGAACCGTCGTTAAGCAGGTAATTCTCACTTCAAAAAAACCATAATAAGCATCATAGCAGATTGTCATACTTTGGTGAACCCACCAATGATATGTTTTTTTTTTTTGAAAAATACAGACTTTTATGTGACTTACAGAACAAATAATTATTTAGGCAAACTTATTAAATATAAAAAAGACAAAACTTCAGTGTCGGATAGATCCGTAGTATATGAGTTGATCTGAGGTCTTGTCCAAAACTTCATATCGGCCAAACGGAAAGAACCTTTTTTCAAAGAATAAAAGAACATATGAGTAGTTTCTAGAATTTGAAGACGAATTCCACATTTGCAAACCAGTATTTCCAAATTTACTGCATACACAGTAGTGTCATATTGGCATATTCCAAATATATTTGTTATTATCATTAAAATTTTCACCCACTGATTCTATATTTTCGTAGCACTAAGTGAAATTATTTATAATATTTTCACAAAAGGAGTTTAGACAGTTGGTTTTCGATAAATTAACTTCACTAGGAGTGATTTTTTTTGAAATCTCAATAGATATGAAGGTCTTCAATTTGAATATTTAATATGTTGATACAATCAAAAAATATCTTCAGGATTATTTTTTTATCAGAATCTTTGTTGAACGGTTTTCTAATATGTGAGAAAATCTGCAGTTCCACTTGGTAGGTGAAAATGTTTCAAATTGTTGAGAAAGAAAGGTTTTGGTTTTCTACTTCTANAAAAGAAATGATCTCTGAAACTGTGCAGTGCGATGTTGTGGCATAGTTAATTTGTTTTTATGTCTAATGTTTATTGAGTGAATATCTTCACGCAGAATTAGTTTTTGTATTAAAAGGGGGAGAGTGGGGGAGAATAGATAATCAATTTATGAACAAAACAATCCAAGTGATGAATCATACGGTTTTTAATATTGAGCCAGCGGGAGGTTTTGAAGGCTTCAGAAATGGAACCATACTTACGAACTCCATAAATGAGACGGCAACAAGGATTTTGAATTTTTTTCATTCATATAAGTATGGCCCATATATGAAGTCACAGTAGTTGAAGTGGCATAGCACCAAACTATCACAGAGTTTTTTTTTTAAAGATTTTTCAGAGATAAGCATTGAAAAAAATAATTTCGAAACAATTACTTTCATATGAACTGACAAGAAAAAACAGTTCTTTCTAGTCAGTTTGTAGTCCAAATATTAATCTCTCCTAAAATATTCCCTTTCAATTCAAGTATCAAATTGAATAGAACTGGCCGATAATTAATGATAATCCATATTAAAACTAATTAATACGGTTTATTGTATGATTTTCACTCTAATACAATACACTATACAATAGCTTTCTCAAACGTAAAATGTTTACGCTTCATATAGTTATTGTATAGCGAAACACGTGTCGCGGTTTTTGTAAAATCCATTATAGTGAAAATCATACAATGAACTGTATTAATTATAATATGAGAGTCTAACAATAACCATGTATTTGAAAATTTAAAACTGATTCTATGTATTTAAACGTTCGAATATCAAACGAATTGTCAACTCAATACTAAATGAAAGGAAATGTTTCCGTACTTGAGTTCAGAGAAAAAGATAATTCAAAGAAGCACGAAATCTGGGATAGGCCAAAAACATCACCATGGAATTTATGCCCGGATAACATGCGAAACAGAAATAATCAAGTTGAAACCGAATTACAGCCCAATTCAAAATTGGAAACAGCTAATTACGTCATGAATAAAGAAAATATGATTATGTTCATACCAATAGGAAATGTGAAACCGTACTTGCTCGCTGAGACTGTATGATGTATCGACCCGGCGCAAAATCAATACTGGAACGAGGCTGGAGAAGTTTCCAAGTAAACTGGACTGATTTCCTAGGAACTGAAATATTTTCAGCGCCAAGAAAAACTTTTGTTATACGTCCAGAGTACTTTAGCAATAACTGTGATTGTTGGTTGCAGTTCTCTAGAACGACAATGTGTTGTTCTGGGGTTGAAGTACGTGCAGCATCTTTTGTAACCAAGTAGAAGTGAAAAAAAGTGGCAATGCTCAGATGTGAACCCAAAATCCCTTGATATTCCATTGCAAATGAGGTTTCTGTGCTCTTGAAGGTCAGATGAAATTCAAGTATACTTCCAAATCGAACACTTTTCTCATCACCAGACCTTCAATACTCTTGGCATCTTCAAGAATGCTTGTTTTGGATTTATTCTTTACCAGATGACTTAGTTTTACCATT